CATAAACCTAAATGAGTATCCTGCAAAAGTTGGAAAGGAATATTAAATCAAGTTTTGCAAATAAAACCATCTGACCAAACTAAGCACAACAGTAAAAAGATAATTTCCTAAATGGGAGAAGCAAATAGTCATGGTAATGCAAACTCTATCATTTAAAAGTTTCCAGATGTTGCTAGGAAAACTTCATTGTAATGGTTCAGAGATTCAAACAGATATGAGAGGAAGCAAAGTATAGCAAACAAGAAGCCTAGCGGAAAGCCACCCATGACCTTTGCCAAGCAATAAATTCCCTTTGGATCGGTTTCCCATATTAGATGGGCAAAATACTAAGCATTGTTTGGCCATACACATAAACAAAGTCCGAAGATAACTATTTAGTGGTTCCTAAGCACCAAGATGAGCTTCCATAAAAATGGCAATCCAACCATGCATAACTTGTCCACACTATTCTCAGAAAGAAAGAAAACGTCAGCTGCAAAGGAAGATTAATAAACATAAACATCATCTAAAATCAAATAATTTTATCTCGTCCATTTTTTAACCAGCACCTACATCTGCATTGTCCAAAGAAAAATATATTTGCATATTCTTTGAAGTTTTTATTGCCAATAGCAAAATGCCAGTCACTCAGAAATGGCAAGCTAAGATGCAGTTTAAGATACTGACGGAGATGAACCAGACGTATACATTTTTAAACATATAAAACAAGATAAATAAAGACAATATTTTAGCACTCAAGTTTATGTTAATCAAACATCCAATGAATGAAGCGTGCACTGAATTAGCAAGCTAAGGTGCAGTTCCATGATACTGATAAGGCATGAAAAAATGTAACAATTTTTAATCATCCTCAAACTTAAATGTCTATATTTAGCTTAGGATACTATTAAATCATACATGTAATAAATCAAGGACATTTTATCATTTAAGAAGGCATCAGTGTGTTCAAATATAACATAGACTTCTCCAAAAGCAACTAGAGTATAGGTTAATTATAACATAATCATAACAAAGAAGTATTGGGCAACACTGGGGAAAAAAGTGAATTAAGTATCATCACATTTTAAGAAATTATTGCCAATAGTATGTTAAAAATGAAAAGATGTCTGGCAGAAGTAGTTATTTGCAACCTGAATTGGATGGTTGGTTGTAACATGAGACCAGATCTCTTCCAAGCTAAATCTTGTACAACCCCAAGTGAAAATGATTTATCAGGCCACTGAACCATTGGAATAATACGAGTGCCACTTTTATTCTGCCAGGAATCAGAGAAAACTGTTTGAAGCCAAAGGGTAAGCAACATCATCGGGCTTGAAAAGAAATTTCTTAATAAACTGAAGCAGGAAGTAGTAAGCACAGTGACACTTTAAAAACAAGACAGAAGCAAAAAATTGGAAAATTCAGTTAAAAAGGATACCACCTAAAATACAGTAACTGAGAAATGTGTAAACAATATAGCATAATACTGCATAACTATTTCTGTTTATTGTAAGGTAGTCACAAACATGAGACTCTTGATCGATGTTGGAAAATTAAGATCATAACAAACTCATTTTGCTATCTTCAGAATTCAAGTATGAAATTTGATGAGTAAACCGGGTGATTTTGACAAGTCAAGACTTCTGACGACAGTTTAAAGATAGATGTCTGATGGTAAATGCCAGAAATTAAAGCAAGAAATCAGAGGTCAAAGTGCTAACTGGAAAGTGGACAGATAAGAATGAACACTAATCATTATTTGTTTTTTCATCTAGTTAGAATCCTTCTGTAAAATGAAAGACCTGATGGTGTTCACCTATATATAGAATCCATAACTCGAGTTTTAAGGCAATGTTATGATATTTCATGAATAAAAATATCTAGGACAGATATGCCTTATTTTATATGTTCCTTTTAACTTCTTTTCCCTTATTCTATTCCCTCTTTCAAATTCTTGTCTTCTACTCCCCTTCATTCTAGACCCTGCCATGGTCCAATTCGAACCAGAACCTCAACGTTTTGGCGGTTCCAAACCGAACCGGAAAGGGATTGTT